TTAGTCCCTCAATACATGACTGTGTTCCTGAGTAAGCTTAATTGATCATAATAAGGCAATCAAATGTGAATATTTTTTGCTCTTTGATTTCTAGAATGTCATTTAACAGTATAACCAAAATGAGACTAAAGACATGAGTTATGCCAAATTAGAAATCTATCAGAAAATCAAATATTAATATTAATGAAAGAGAAGGGGTGACATTCTGCATCTGCCCAGCTCTGGAGAAAAACAAGGCCTCAAATACTTGATTTTTTGTGCTCTGTATTTAGCCAGTGCCCAGTGATAGCAGACATTTTAAAGTCCAAGGAAAGGCTGTGGTTCATTACCCTCTTGGTGCCATTAACAACTTCAGCAGCCCTTGCCTCAGGCCCCTGGTGCAGGTACTTCCTGAGCCTCTCCACTGTGCCAGTACAGCTGCTTAGTCAGAGAATGATTCTACAATTTTTCTTGCAGCCAATCAGCCTGCAAACTGGTCCAGTCGAAAAATAATCCTATTTCTTTCTTGTGATCCTACTTTTTAGCTGGATAAGCTCCCTGATCCTGTGCACTCTGCAACTAAGTGACCAGCTGTGCTGGGACAACGACAGGGACTACAGGAGGTCAGGAGTGAGGGGGTGGAAGCAAGACAGGGAAGAATTCTGCTTAGAGTTGCTTGGGCTGCACTGAAGCCAAATGTCCAGTTAGGAACTAAACACCCTAACCATTGAGTAATATTTTTTAAAATTTTTTTTAAGTTTAAGTTTTTAATCTCAATTTTAAAAAATAAATAAATCTGCTCCCTTACCAGGCTTTCTATCATCAAATTTAGGCTCTATTAGAAGTTTAAAGATCCTTTCCTCTCTTCTCATTTGATTGCTTTTCAAAAATCACTTTAGCAAAAGAAAGGGAACTCAGAAAAAAACCTAATTTATCATTCCAGCTCATAAAATAATGTAACTCGTTGTTCTGGTTGGTGTTAATAATATTTATATTGGAAAGGTCCAGGGCAATATCCTTGAAAACACAATTGTTTTCTGCACCATCAGCAACCTATTAGCCAGAAAAAATAAAAATTTTGTACTTTGGAGCTTTTTGGGTACTTGCTCAAATCAAAGCTTTCATTTCCTTCATACCCTCCATACATATTTCAGCAAATTAACCATGGAAAAAGTTCCAAAATTAGAGAGACAAGGTTTAATTTTTAACAATCCAATTCCTAATCTAATGTTTTCCTATTATTACTTCTGGATTTAACAAGGCTATTTAGCCTACAGGAGAAATCCTTTTAATAATGGAATTCTGGTGTAGTATTTTTGGGAGATCTCTGCCTTTTTTCCTCTTGATTCTCCACCACCCCCCACTTCTTTTTCCTCCACACACATGCACCCACTTAGTTAATTGTGTGTGATCACTAAACACAGACACATGTGGGCATGAGAGTCCCTAATCAGACAGGCACAGAAACAAAATCTCTATCCTTCAAGGACAGGGTGAATTCTGTCAGGCATTTTAAAGCCAAGGCAGGTCATTGAAGTTATTATTAGCACTAATTAGCACTCCCACAAGCTGCTGAATTCTTTACCTGAAGCCAAAGGCCACTCAATATGGTGCAAAATTTGCTCACATATTTGAAAGAATCAGTGAATTGGCTCCTCTGTAGGAACACAGGGTTGGTCCATTGCATGTGAATAGGCTTTTGGTAAAAATACATCTGATCCATGTACCAAAGGATCTACAGAAGCAGAGATATGATGAAACTGTTCCAAAACAAAGGAATTCTACAAATGTCTAAACAGATTTTGTGAGAAAAGGAAGACATCTGGCCTTACTTATTATAATGGTGCTGTATTTTAAACTTTCTAGCAGGTTTCAGACAATTCATCCCCCATCTCAGCTACACTGCTGTTCTTTTAAGTTAGTGTTTTATGTGGGAATTTGAAGACAAGTCTGTATGAAAACTGATTTTTTCTCCCTTGTGAGCAGCCTTCCCTCGAGAATGAGAGAGATCTGAACTGAATCACTGAGCTCCAAATAAAACACTGATCCTAATTCTGACAGTGGCTAAGAACTGATGAAAGCCAAGTGAGCCACCTCTCTTGTATCTTAAGCACATTTCGAACAAAGTGCCATAACGGGGAAGCCTGGCAATAGCTCTCATTAGTAAAAAGCACTGCTACAGGGCAGTAGAAGGATTTATTTGAAAGAAGGGAGAAAGAAATGTGTTAGAATCAGCTATTTTGGGTCTGTAAAATAATCCACACTATGACCTAGTCAAGCAAAATTGTACCAGGAGTCAAAAAGTAACATATTAACAAAAATAAAATTAGCAAATATTTACTGTAGAACCTACTATGCAGGAGCCTGGCACCTAAAGGATTCCCCTCCAAAAACAAGTCACTATCCTGTGTGGCAAGAAGTTGGAAACAATGAGGAGTCTTGAAAGGTAACAGGCAAGATGTTTCTCCAACTATCATTCCTTGCAAAAGTGAAAAGCAGAGAGTGAGAAACACAGAATAAACACTCCTTTAAAAAAATCCAGGCCCAGCTCAGTGCAGATTGACAAGCTGCAGCTCTTCATTAGCTGGACATGCAACCCAGCATCCAAATGCCATCCAAACTGGGGGCTTCCTATGTCACTCTGAGCTGTATCTGAGTTTGTGTCTGTCACAGAGGCTGCAGCTTCACTACAAGCTCCACTTGGCCATGCACTGTCACACTGAACACATTTTCATCCAGCCAAAAGTCAAATCACAGAGCTGGAGACAAGGCCCTCAGGATCTCCATCGGTCCCTTCCATGGGACACGACACAACACACTTTGTGGTTGCAGAGGTCAGCCAGTCCCTTTCGACTTTACGCCATCCTTAAGGCACCACTCAATATTTTAAAGAACTCTGCAGCTCTGAAGCACCAGTAATATTAATGGTCACAATTTTAGCATGATCAGTATTATTACCTCTGCTTTAAATTAGGCACCGAAAAACACTGAGCTTCCAGTTACTATGACACAGCATTCAATGCCAGGACTGGAATCCTTATTTTTAGCCTCCTGGTCCCATTCTTGAAGCATTTGCTTTGTCATACTGCAGCCAGAAATGCATTTCCTCTAAAACTAATATACAAACAGCATCAAAATTTTGGCCTTCACTCCCTGAGTGATAGTACCATTATGAAGATGAATCAAGGTCACTGCTTTTTCATTTGTGTTATCCATTTTTTGAAAAGGAAGCCCCACAAACCGAGATGTGACACTGGCTGCTGACGGAATCTCTGTCATTTTCTTCAATTTGCAACAATTTGTAGCATTTTCATTATTTAGAGACTTGATTTCCTGACACCAGGGCACAGCTACAAGGTAAATTTCTGGGAACACACAAATGACATAATCTATTTCCTTTAGTATGATGCCAGCAGCTGAAGGGTGAAATAATTGCCTGGAAGTGCACTGAGTTGCTTCATTCTGCTAAACCATTTAGGATAATGGGAATTCTGGAACTAAATCCCTAGACACCTAACTAAAATTAAGCCTTTTAAACACTGTGACAGAAATTAATGTCAAATGCTTCAGGAACACTTTCCCTCATGGAGACAAACCTCTCTACAAAAAACAGCATTGCTAACTCATAATTAACTCTCAGAAAGGAAAAGAGCAAAATTTTCTAACTGACTGTGATGATTCTCACACAGTTGGCTCATTGACAAGCCTTTTCTAAGGTTACAAAGTTAAGTAAAGGTTGCCAAGCACTGGTAGTATAATAGGACCATGGGATGCCTTGGATGTGCATTTAGAGGTTCCATTTACCAAATAAACAGGAGCTGGACAGATCCAAAGAATGAGGATGGTGCTTATTTTAGGAGACATTACAGATGGTTTCCAGTTTGTGTTTCAACAAAAAAATTGTGCAAAATTAGAGAACTGAAAACAAAAATCTCTCTTTTTGTTATTGAGACGTGAGGGATCATGATTCTGGTGTCTCAGGGCTAGAAGGCATGTATACTACCCTGGCCAGTGAACACCTTTAAAATGAAAATAAGCAAACATTAAATGCATATTTATAAGCAAACAAAACTCAGATGAGTGTGAGCATTAAAAAGTGTTTCACTCACAATTTCACTTAGGAAGGATTATTCACATTATCTCTAAATTGCTTTCACTAAATTAAGAGTCACGTGTTGCTGTTGTATCTTTGAACTTTTTCCATATGTTTTAGCCTGGATCAATTCAAATGTTTAAGGCAGTAAATATACTTTGAACAACAGCTGTTAGCTCAGAGGAGGAATCTGACCCTATAAGAAACTCTTTTGGCATACTCTGGTATTCAGCTGACATTCCCAGGCAGCCAGTACATCTGTGGGTGAATTCAGAGGGTCAGCATAGTAAAGGCAACAGGAAAAACCAGGGGATTATTAAGTAGATAGAAAACAAACAACTAAAGAATTTCAGACTTTGATTATCACACCTAATCTCCAGTGTCAAGCTATCTAACCAGCTTGTCTTCTGTATCACCTATGCAAAATTGAGGAAAGCAGTGCTGAGATAGCTATGCTTTAAAATAATGCTTTAAAATCTCTGTCTTTACCAAAGTTATTCTGTTTCAGAAGAACATAATCTTTACCGCTCTAAGTGAATTTTTCTGTCAGGAAAATAACTTTTCCCTTTTCATCAGTGTTGACACATCCTGTAATCTACCCTGCATCAGTTACATATGAGCCACCACACAAAGAGATTACACTGACCCTTATCCACTCATCATGGAATAAGATGAGAAGCAGGATTCTAAAGGGCAAGACTTGTTTGTAGTTTCCACTATGACCAAACCTGAATGTTCCAGTCCTTTGCTTTTCAAAACAAAAATGATGGTTCTCTCTGTTCACTCTCATTTTACCTATTAGGAGTCATAGAAACATGATCAAATATGATGATCTTTTCTTAACAAGGTATCTTTCCATAGTCAGAAGAAAAGTGTTCAAGAGCAGCAGATGAAATGTTACATGAAAGCCTAGATTCACAATTCTTACGTGAGCACTCTGGTTTCCTGAACCTGCTCCATCCCAGGGATTTCTGTCAGTTTGCTCCATTCCATAAAAATCCAAACTTAGGCTACTTCACCATTTCTATCAAGTTTGCTCCTGGAAAAGAAATAATCCAATCAGAGGAAGGAGGTAAAAAGAGATCTGATCAACAGGCTTAGAGTTCTTTATAATACAGGGCATTTCCCACAGTCTCCATTCCTGACCACTAAGTCAGAAAACAGAAAGACAATTCCTGAACACAGTAGTACATGAAGATTAAGCTCCTGGAATCGGGTTGACCAAGCTCTTAAATAACAGAAATGATACAATCCTCTGAGAAGTTTCTTGCATTGTGAAGTAGTCAGATAAAATATTCATGTTCTTAAATAGAACTGCTAATAAAAAAATAAGTAAAGGCTGGTTGTCAGCACTGTTTGCAATATGGTAGTGAAATGGGAATGAAAGCAATAGAAAATAGCATGCCAACAAGGGAATTTGAAAGCAATAAAGTAAATTTATATTTGTTTTATATTTTGCTTTATCCTTCACTGGTTTTAAAACTAATTTTTATTAACTATATCACCTGAGACTGAAAATACATACCTCAAATATGATAAGCAAGAAAAAGGCCCCAACATTCAATTAATAAAAAGACATTTTCTTTCTGCTTTGGTTTTAGCTTTGGGTACACACTCCAATGCAGTATTGTGACTGAATATAAAAACAGAACAAGGAATTTCGTACTTAATCCATAGTCTCCCTCAGCATCCACGAGAGTATGAATTTATATACTAAAAGGACATGGTTTATAAGAAAGGCATTAGAAGTGCATTTTACTTAATCTATTATTTCTCCTTTGAAAATATATTTTATTTGCTCTAAATACTGTTTCTTCTCCATTACCAGCCAGTCATCTTGTGATAGGGTCTCATAACTACATCATTCATCAAATTAAGACTATGTTTACTGCAAGAGGCCCCCCAGTGCAATAACAGCATATTTGAGCAGTGAGACATTGGGTGTAAAAGACCAAAGTGAGCCCACTCCAGGCCCCTGTGGAAGGGGAGAGCTTGGGAATCGCTCTGGACTGGTTCTAGTCTAGTTCTGGGGATGAGCACCCATCAGAAGCTGGAGCACATCAGGTACAGTGCCAGGGCACAGGCTTTGCTGTGGATTACTCTGCAAGGAGTCTGCTTTGAGTGCTCCCAGCTCACTCCTCAATGCAAACACAAGCACGGAAAGATGGGCAGATTTGTTGTAAAAGTGATCTCCTGTGGGAGAACCACAAATCCAGCCAATGGATTCCCGTGACCCATCCCCACTTAAGTCTGCACTTTTTCTAGGAAGGCTACTTTTGACACTCCTGATTTTAAAAAAGACAACACCATCAACGAAACAACAATAACAAAAATAAGGAGATGGGGGCAGACAAAATGTCAGATGAATTAGACCACTTGATTGCTGCTGGCAGACTTTCTATGCTTGCTTTCTACCACACATATTTTTTCATATCATTCCCTTTCATTGTGGGGCTGGAGAATACCCAGTACCATAGAAAGAGCGAGACAAAGCCTCCACAGTGAGGATTTAGGCTCATTTAAAATAGCTTTGAAACATGGTCATATCCCTAAAAATCCATTTTGTGTTTGTTTTATAATGGGCTCAATACTTCCTAAACCTATTTATAAATTCCTTCATCTTACACATGCTGTATCCTGCTAACAACATTTTATTTTTAGAAAATTCCCTTGCCTGACAATTTTGCAGACTTGACTCAACCAGTCTCCTGATAAATTCAAATTAAAAACTTGATAATTAAATACGGAGAAGTATTTCATCCTGTCATAATTTTTGACTGTCTGAAACATCAGAAGCTGTTATAAGGAAACTAATTTGTCTCCATAGCAAAAAAAAAAAAACAACAAAAAATCTAGAAGCTTGTCTGCTTTAATTAATCTGTTGCAAGACAGCTTTCAGAGGAAGGCCCAGCCACTCAGGCAAATTTTAGGCAATCTCTATAAGGTTTAAAGAGATGTTTATGCTCTCATTTTGGCACTGCCACTGTCTCAAATTCCAACTCTCTTGCTCCTTTAGCCAGGGTGCTGTTTTCCCCTACACTGCAGAGATGATGGGCCCCAGCTAACAGTTCCTGTGGTGCATGTCAAATTGACGTGGGTACTAATATGTTTTATTCACAATTTTTAGAGTTTGAAGTTAGATTAAATGACAAACAGAATAATACAGATAGTGAATCACCAAAAATCATCACTTATTTGCTGAGCTATACTTTTATCAGAGACCCTGTAAGTTACTTGAAGCTTGTCCGTGTCTCCACACTTCATATTTCTTCCTCCAAGATACTCTGCCTTCCCTTTCAGTAAATACAGTCTGCACAGCCCTACTGAAAGTTAACTTCCTATTCAAGTTGGCAAACAGGCCAGCTATTGTATCCTCTCTGAATACTGCTTTTATCTGACAGGTCTGTGAGTCAGCAACATCTCCCTTAAATACCCACTCCCAGTATCACATGCACAACCACCACAGCATCGTGTTCAAACCAGGGATGCTCAGCAAATATGCCCTGGGCACGTCTAGTCCCAGACTAGCACCAACAGGATCTAAACTCATAAAGGCTCATGCATATCTCAAAGCCACACTGACTTAATTTATGCCTCCAGATGGAGTTATCTTTCCAAGCAAAGCACACCACCAGTTAAGTCGCAAGCCTCGTAGGTGTGGGAAGAAAGGAGGCAGCCCAGGAGTGCTGCTGTAATGGAATACTGTGTTTTCACACCTACACCACATATACTGGAGAAGCAACTGTGCAGGATTGTCCGGGCATGTTCCCTGCATGCTGGCCAAGCTCTTTATTTGCTGACACATTCACGTCCTACAGAGCCAAGGACAAGATTAAGAAAGCTGACTCAACCGTGCCTGTGAGGTTTAGGGCGCTTCAGTGCCAGTGAGCAGCTCTGCTACAGTAAACTTGAAATGTTTTACTGCCCAGCTACATTGAAGAGAACAGAACAGCTATCTCACTGGAGGAATAAAGGGAACAGTAGAAGCTCTTTTGGGCTGTGGCTGCTGCTGTCCCACACCAAGCCCTGGGCAATCTCTGCCCTTTGGGATCATTTTGTACTGCAGAAACACTATGGAACATGATTTGTGTCCAAAGGAATATATGTTCCAAACACAACTATTGCAAGATTATGAATGAGTTTTTTATTAATAACTCATTAGAGAAAAAGAATGGGGAACCTATGAAAATTTTTTTCATTGTTTTCCCCATTTTACTTCCATTCCAAACCCAACAGACTGGCCTGGTTGCTCTTCTTCATTACAGTAGATAATAATATCCCTTGAAATGATTATGAACCAACTATGGACTACAGTGGTTCCATCTGGACTTCAGGATAGCAGAAATACCAGTGGGTTGTCAGCCCACAGCTGAGAACTTCTGACCTCAGTTCTTTCAGCTTCGTGTCAGGGACAAAAGAGACAAGCAAATGTGGACTAGAATTTCATTTTCTAATGGCATGGTTATAGTCCCTATAGTCTCCACTTCTCCTCTATTAAGAGGGAATATTTCATTCTATCTAGAACTTGGAGGAAAATATTTAAATTATATTTTTTCCTCACAAATATTTCAGGCGTACATTTCAGATAAATAACATTTCATTATTTGAATTTGTCATTGAAAGCTGAGCTCAGAGAACTCTATTAGGGACTTAGGAATTATTCTCCATAAATGAAGGAAACATGTCAGTTCCATCAAGCCCATCCAGCAGATCACAGAATAGAATCTAACAGATAAAAAGCAATTAAAATTTAATTTATCGTTATTTCATTTCCACTCGATTCTAGCTGGAACTGCAAACATACTGAAGGACTGTGAGAAATGCTGCCCTGCCCTTGTGATCTCTCTTGGGATTTCTGGGATGCTTCCAGTGTGTTCTGAAGTTGGCAGTCTGATATACCAGGAAATACACACAAAACCACGTTAAATGTGGCAGAGTAGGAAAGGTTTTGGCAAGGGTGGGTGAGCATCTCCCAGGACAGTTTTATAAAATGAACCATTATGACAGAGGTTGTATAAACAACTGCAAACCTCTTATGTCAACCAATTATTCCATGTGTCCTGAAAATGTCTGTCCGGCTACGGTGGCAGCTACAAAATGCCTGTGGAGCAGAGCCTGCCCATAGAAATAAACTCATACTTGTGTAAGATTAAGAGCATTAGGTTTGTTAATAAAAACCAAAATAATCCCTACCTCCATTCCCCAAAAGCCTTTGTTTAGGATTAAATAAATTGCAAAGTTGCTAATAAAAGAAGCAATAAATCTGAAAGACTGAGAAAGAATTATGCTTATGACAAAATGAACACTCATTGTAAGGAATAATTATCCCTATATTTCAACAAATGCACACCAAAAGTTGGCCACAGCACAGCTACTACGTCAGGTCTGTGCAGCACCACAGAAACGAGAATAAAATTCAGAATACTTAGAATATCAACACTATAATTACACAGCAGCATAATTACAGCTAATTACCTTAAAGGTTAAGAATGAACCTGTGTAAAATAAAGGAAATTCTTCTTTTAGTTAATGGAAGGTTTGGCTTATAGATTTGTCAGGCCCAGGTAGGAGAAAATGTATTTCTCTTTTAAAAACTAACATGCCCTTTATGTGAATCTATAGCAGAAAATTATGGGAGTTATTAAACTCACTGTAGAGGGGTAATAGATGGTTCTAATTCAAAATAAACTGAGTAGAGTGTGACTTTTGCTGCTTGCAGTGGCAGTTGTTTAGTTGAGGCAGCCTCCCATAAATCTGAACAAAATCCATGATGCTGCTGCAAAACAAAATGAAAAACAAAGGCAACAAATAGCTTCACTTCCATTTATAACAACTGACCCAGGCCCCATGGCAAACATGTGATATATCTCCAGCTGAGAGCCACAGGGGCCTGGGAAGTGATGATATACACCAGCACTCAGCACAGTTGCACATGGACTGTCTATTATCAGATGTAAACTTAAAAATAATAAAAAAAAGAGCATCACAAAACAAAACAAAAACCCCCTGACAAACAGCCAAGCCTGAAATGTCAATTTA